GTTTTACAATGTAATTTTGTGCAGAGCTATCAGGACAAGACAACAGGTACAGTGTGTGACTCCACCCTGTGTACCAAAGCCAACCCCTTACATCAGCCACACTTCCAATTATTACTCCATCGGCCTTATTACGTAAAACAGTGTAGCCACTATATACCATGTTTCTATTTTTTCTTCTATCATTTGTCCAACCATTACATAACAACTCTCCTTTGGTGTCTGGAACACTGGGGTTGTCTGTGGCCAAATGCATGTGGCATTACAGCAGTGCTGTGCTGTCCTGTATTCCTTTTCATGTAGATTTTACACAGCGTCCCAACTTATTTTGAATTAGGGTTGTAAGACCTATTTAACCCCTTGCAGTGATCACTGTGCTGTGGCCACCTAAACTGCTGTTGAGGCTCTGCCCTGGACTCTGAGGGACCCATCAACAGCATTAACTCAATGAGTGCTAGTCCATGCACGGACCAGTGCTCATTGTACCGCATGACTAGATTATTCTGTCATCGGTCGTTAAGGAACTGAAAGACTGTGATAGAAAAATCCCATCATCGGTCGGGAAGGGGTTAATGTTCATCTTATTAAACGTGAAATGTAATACAGTTTCAATACAGTCTATTAAATCTCTACTATCTGTTTAGATACTAATTTGCAGTAGCTGGCTGAGGCCATGCTCATTGTGCTCCTTGTGGCTGTATACTTTGGATCTATTTAGTTTCAAGGGTGCTGGGAACAATCTCAAGCTTGCTCCCATGCATATCAGAGATTGAAGTACGATAAGTGCACGCTGGCAACTTTCCAGCATAACAATGAATGCTGGTGGAGTGTCAGTGCAGCCTAAACTCAGTTAAGATTAATAGCGTTTATATTGTAGAAGAGGAAGCATACAAAACTCTCTTTAAAATGTTTATACTTTATAATCCCCTGAAACAAGCAGAAATGTATATGCTCCATTTCTGTACATGAGTAGTTTACTCACAAGTAAATTTCACACTGCTGTCAATCAGCTTTACCTGGACTTGTGGTACTGTAAAATGATCTGCCTTGCTCTACTGACAGCAATACATCACAGTACAGCTCTCTTTCAGAACGGTAGGTCAGCTACACTATACAAAGATTGCTGCTCCAAGTGACATCTGTGGCTGTAGTTATAGATTAGGTACAGATTTGGGTAGCAGTATGTAGAAGGCTTTATAAAAATAGGCATAACCATCTAGAAAAATATATGCAAGCATTGTCTATTCACTAAAACTCCTCTGTGGGCTCAGGGCAATTCCCACTGCAGCAGTACTGTGGCTTGTCATCACCATTGCAATACATTTGTGTTCTATATACAGAAGCTAGCGCTGTTAAAATGATTGTGGTAATGCTTGGAAAAATACACACTTCATGGTACCGAGTATGATCCTGTAGACAAAAGTATTTGTATCCTTGTTGAACTTTTGGTTATACATTTCTTTTTACCTTACTCATCCCTTCTCATATTTCCACTAGCGATTGCTTTAGAAATCTGTTTGGTAGCTCATTGGGTGACTGAGTTTCTACATCTACTAATACTTAACAAAACATATTTCTCTTAGTAGATCAATGCTTATTGATTAGCCATAGGATTATACATTCCATGCACAGTTTACTGCTGCAACAGTGCTGATACACTCGATTGTTAGTTCAGTCCTGTCTTCATATTTAAAAAATTGCGTTACGACAATTTAAGACCATATTTTTTCAGATAAATAACTGTATTAGGCTCAAGCTTGACCATACACTATACAATCTTATTGTAAATTGTATTTAAAATCTTTGTCTTATCCAAAACTATATGAGGATACACCCAACCAGCTCCTTTAGTAGGTATCTAATCAGGCAGACCCTCATACCTTCAGACCAAGATCTGAACCGCAGAGAAACCAGTGCCACCTATCTGCTTATGCTGTTATAGCTTTATCAGGCATACAAAATTTAAAGAGTATTGAGAGTGCAAGTTACTTTGAGGTGTCCTAATAATAATATTAGCTTGTGTGGCACTCATGTTTACAGAAGCAATCTTCGGCTTGACAAGGAAGAGATGCCTACAAAGACTATTTCAATCTCCTCTATGTTCAGCCTTGGTGCACTTCAGAACAGTCACACTTTTTCAAAAGGATAAGGAGTCTGGGGCAATCGTGACAAGAAACAGCCTCACCAACTTATTTTCATGGTATGCTACAAGCCCTAGAACATCTACCTGTATGAGCTCACCCTTTCCTCACTATGTATTTGGATATTAGTGAGGAAAAATAACCCACAATTAAAACAAATTTACCTAGACCTACTCTACCCAGGACTACAAGGGCAGGTCAGAGAGTGGACATGAGTAGAATAAATAGGCCATCAGCAGAATATGGCTTTCCTTCTATATTGGCCCGTTGGTCTCCAAATAAATTTACTGCATCTGGGGCACTTAGATTCACAATTGTGTTTTCACCTTTTAAATTCCATACGCACCCAACCTTCTATATAATAAGGTATGAATGTCTAGTATATGCCCAATCATCAAATTCAATATTTTGTAAAAAAAAAAAAAAAAAAAGTTATTTTGCATACATGACTATGATAATGTAAGATAATAGTATATAGTTTAATACTGTAGGCAAGACAAAATACATTTTTGTTCAATGGAAATATTTTATTGTATTCCCTTTTAATCTCTACACAAAATGCATCTCAATCTTGCAGTTGTATGCTCAACTTCCATTCCGTTGTGCAACACATCCAAATACATTATATAACTTTATATTAAAGTTTTAAAAGTAGAACTGTCCAGCCATTTCCCCACACACAATTTAAATATATTCACAAATATTCAAAAAATAATGTTGCTTATATTTCTAGTCAAGTACCCCGAGAAAAAATATTATTAAAAAAAATATTCCATTTCATCTTCACTGTCCAGAAAGATATTCAGTTTTCTACAGCCAGAGGGGAAGTTGCGGCTCCATTGGAAAGAATGACGTAGCATCAATATGGAGTCAGTGTAGCTAGGATACATTAAGCATATTTATACTACACTCTTTTGCCAAGAGAATCATAGTAAAAAAAATGTATTGCAGTGTCTTCAGAAATATATACAACTTCACTTGTCATTGTAATATTATTTCTCCTCTCCTAAAGTGCTAACACGGTGAACTGAATCCAGGTTATGCAATAAGGCTGCGCAAAGAGCAAGGATGTGTGGAAACCCATAACAACCGATCAAATTTCCTTACTCATGTATTTAGGTTTGCCAAAACAATGAGAGAAGGATGCTGGTTGGTCGCCATGTGTAACAGCACTTAACATGTGGCTCTTCTGCCTTATGTAATAAAGGCTAATAAATTGTGTATGTAAAGACATAATAGATAAACATGTAGGGCAGCATTGTTGACCCCCAAAAATAATTTATGGCACTAAATAAATAGAATGATAGAGAGTGTAAAAAAAACAATCTTTGACTGGACTCAGGAAAACAAAATGGATATACGCCTCTTATTTAAATATCTGAAATACCTATGCAATGAAATAGGCAGTTTACAGCTGTATTAACAATTCAGCTTTTTTGTACCTTTAGGGCAGTGACAGTCGAGCGTGTCTGTTCATCTTCAGTCTATTTATAAATGTTTCCACACAAGAGTCAGGCAAGTTTCACGATTTTTGCAAATGGAAAAATGTGTGAATCCTGGGTAAACGTTGTGTGAACACATAAACAGATCCCTAGTAGTGTTTTTGAAGCTTTCTTGTGCATTTTGAAGAAACATTTCTATACCTGTAGCAATAAGAAGGATTTAGACAAAATGCTGTGTGCAGCCTTTAAGTAAGGCAAACATGGTTAGAATTTGAAAAGAACAAAATCGATTTTGGAATATTCATTCGACATTCCAATCGTTGATGCAGTGAAATCGATGATCGATTTCGACCACAGTGATTAAAAAATTCTGCTGAGCATGTTGGAAACGATCGAGCAAAATTCTAATATTGATTGTGGTTTTCGTTCGGGAAACTCCCATTATTTCCAAAATCAATTGTTAAACAAAACCAAAAATCAAACAAAATTTTGGACAATCTCCAAGTCTCCGATGGTATTACTGTAAGTTCCGAAGGGATTTTTTTATAAGAACGTTTGTGCGTAAATGTACCTGTGTATGCCCTACTTTAAAGAAGTGATTTGGTTCTTATCTAGCCTACTGCCCACTGGAATAGCTATGGCACGTCTCTCGTGCTTTATGTTGTGCACCATGTTTGGGCTCTCATGAAACTCAAGAATATGGACTTTGCTTTAGAGAAAATGACACGTAGCAGTTGAAGCACACGCCTAATGCTTACTAGTTAAACCGTCTTGAAAACATAAACTTCCAATGAGTTTTGTCCAAATGAAAACGTTTATGGGAAAAGTTGAATATTGACAGAGCAAATGTCCAAGAACAAAAGATCTGATTTCTGGTTGTAAAAAAGAAATGTTGCCAGTTGTGAAATGTGTGTGAATGTTAGATTCATAGACAGTTTATCTGAAATCAATTAGGTCTACTTGGTAATAGAAGTCAAGTACAACCCTTATGGTTAAATAAAAATGTGACACACTTAAGTCACAGCTACACGTCATTTTTATTGTGCTACCGTGCGCTCAAAAATCTCCCATGATAAGTAATTCTGTGATATCGGCCATGAAATGCAGCTGCCGCATGCTAGCGCGAGCACAACTAAATACACAATACAGTCCAGCTGGAGTATCTCATTAAGTGGCTACTGTGTAACAGGCCCTAGGAGACCAATGCAACAGATGCAGAAATGATCATGGGACAATTATGACCACATAGAAGCACAATAAAACTCACATGTTGCCATTCCCTTAAATATAATGCAACAGCTGCATTCTAATATAAAGAAAAAAAGGGTAACTTGTTTCTTATGTTCGTATGGTATAAAAGCTCTGAGTAATAAAACACTGTGGTACGTTTACACTGTAGCTCAATGTAAATCCCTTTTTCGACTGCTTCATAATATGTAACCATATCATGAGTGAACACAAAAACTCATTTCTGATTTTCAATGTAAAGAGAGATAAGACGTGGGAAGGACGGCAGTTTTGTTAACATTGTTAACAGCAGAGACAGACGATGATGCTTTGGTTGACAGATGGAAATAATCCAACAGTTCCATGTACTAAGCATCCAAAGTCTTTCCATATGTAAGTTAATAAAAAATATCCATGGATTGTGAAGATAAAGGTGTGGTATCTGTAAAGCATGGAGCCTCTGTCAGGCTCTCTCTCTAGTAAGCATACTTAGTATGCTAAAGCTGGAGCCTTCTGAATCCAGGTTTTCATACAAATAAAATATAAATTGACTAAAGACCATTAACAGGGAAGGGCTTTGTCTTCTGTTGCACAAAACGTCCCAATATCCTGTTCAATCTCTTTCCTCCCTCATCTCAACAATGTCTGTTAACTCCTCACATTGTGGCATATCAGTCATTGCTGAATCTTCTCCTTCCACGGCAGTCTCTGTACTGCTCTTCTTTTTCTAGGAAAACAAATAGAAAGCATTACACTGTGGTCATTTATTTGACTGGAAAAGCCATCTTACCACTTTAAAGAATTAAACAAAGTCATGCAGGAAAGCTATTTACTTGTTCATTGTCATCTTCGAATACAGGATTGGAACGAATGTATGCACTGTACTGTAAAAGTAAGAACTGGTGAAGTGTATCTAAACCCAAAAACAAAAGTTTTATATGTTGCAGCATATCAGTCCTTAGATGTGATTCCATTACTTTCCCTTTTCAGGCTTCTCTCCCTTTATTTTACCTGGTAATCCAGTAATCCTGTCCATTCGTGGCTACACTCACTTCTCCATTATATCTATGGAAGCAGCCATGGCTGTCATCCGAGCTAGACTTCAAACTACAGTTGCACCACAATAACAATTTCAAAAACAAAATAAAAAAAATGTCAGGCCGAAACCGAAAATGTTTTTTATTTTAATTTTTAATTTTTTTTTATTTTTTATGAACTTTTTAATTTTTTATATTTAATTTATTCATTTTTTATAAAATATTTTATTTTCTACTTTACTTTTAGGGGCTACGGTGAAATATGTGGGGTCTAGACAGACCCCTGACACTTCCTTTTTAAATAGAAAAAGAGATTGAGGACACAGAGTCCTCACTCTTTTTATGCAGACCCTGTTATAAATGAACAGGAATCCTCTATGAGTGTTTCTGTTCATTCATTACATGAGCACAGAGTATGTTTACTATAACCACAATCAGGAATGAACAGGAGGTGATGTAGATCACTTCCCATTCATTCACAATTCAGAATATAGTAACCATACCGTGTCCTCAATTATTTACAAACACTCAGCGATCACTGACTGCTTGTACCCGCTCTCCATCCTGACACGCTGTCACAGGAGGCTGAGCGAGCGGTGCTGGAGGAGAGCTCAGCCTCCTGTGACAGCGCGGCCCGTCTCCGCCCACACATCGCTTTGCCGGACTGTGACAGGAGGCTGAGCGGTGTGGGAGGAGAGACGCTGGCCGCTCACAGAGCTCTCCTCCCGCAGCGCTCCACCGGCTGTCACAGTTTCTCTCCTCCCCGCCGGGACACAGCAGCGCCCAGCGGGGAGGAAAGGAAACAGGGATGCGCCGATGTATCGGCAGAAAAGCGGCACTTTCGGCATTTAGTCAAAAGTGCCATTTTCGGCCGATATATCGGTGCATCCCTACTTCAAACATTGCTGTGCTTGTGGAAAATGTTCTTAGCCTAAAAAAAGGAAACTAAAGTAAACCTTATCTAGAGACTGGTAAGCGGCACTATATGAAATTTTGGTTTAGGTTAAGATATGCATTAAGGAAAACAAATGTAAATGGTCCAATGTCATACAATATCAATTGGTTAGTGCAAACAATATAAAGTTCTTATTTAGTGGTTCAAATGACTGTAAGATGTAGAAGATTGCAGCTGTCTGAACATCTTTTATCTTATACTTTAACATTGCATGGTATAGTTTAAACAGCTTTAAAGGATAAAACAAGCCAGCCAGGCACAGATCCTGGCAAGGTATAGAGATTGACCAAGGGAATCAGTTAAAACTGATATAAGCACTACATCAGTTCCACACAGACTGACTGGATTGTGTGAATATACTTAAAATGTATCTCCAAGCTAAATCTAAAATTAGTTTGTGCATTATATAATATGACCTAATATTGCCCTGCCCCAACTTTTTGGAGAAGTGTTGCTGCCATCAATTTCAAAATTAGCTTCTTTTTTTTTTAAATGGTACATTTTCTCATTTTAAACATATGATATGTTTTCTATTGTGAATAACATGCGTTTATGAAATCTGCAGATCATTGCATTCTGTTTTTATGTGGATTTTACACAGCTTCCCAACTTTTTTGGAATTGGGGTTGTAGATCAAAATGTGTTGATCTCACTAAGGCTGGGTTTACACCTAGGCGTACGGAATGTGCACGTTTTTACCGCGATTTGCGGTAAAAGAAATGCGCGACAAACACGCGTTTCCGAGGGCTATCCGTCTGTATCCTAATGGATACGCGCGGCAAATAAACCCCAAAGAAGCTCCTGTACTTCTTTGGGCGTAGGGCGTTTTGCAGCAAGTTCCTACGCGCTGTAAAATGCCCAGGTGGGAACCATGCTCATAGGCAATCATTGGTGTTCACATGTTAAGCGTCTTACAGCGCGTAGGGACGCGCTGTAAAACGTCCAGGTGTGAACCAGGCCTAAGACACCAGAACATCCACTTCTTCTTATAGATTATATTCCTTGTACCTGCAGACAAACATGTCCAATTTGTTGTTGAACCTGGAGGACCGGAAGGTTCACATATGTCATCGCCCACCTGAGACACATGTCCTGGAACACCTACAGGTGTAGTGACTACTCCCTTGGCCCAGACGCTGTCGGCTGAGGTAGTTTGCATGCCAATTGTCTTTCCCGGGGATGTACATGGTGCACAAGTTGGGAATGTGAAGTTCTACCCATAACAGGATCCAATCTACCTCTCTTGCTAAGGTGAGACTTCTGGTTCCTCCCTGATGATTAATGTAAGTAAATGCTGTGGTGTTGTCTACATTGATCTGGATCAGATGACATTCCAGCAGGATGGTCCAATGCTGCAGAGACAACTAAACCAATTAAAGTTCCAACATGGTAATTGGGAGATGAGACTCCTCCATCAACTAAGTCTCCTGCACTGACAGAGTGCCCAGGTCTCTTTCCTAGAACAACAGGCTGACATCCATCCAGATGACTGGAAGGAAAGACATCCCTGACTCCAGACCCAGATTTCTGAGCTACTAGGCCAGGGACAACCTGGTTCTTTGTGCCAAACAAACTGGTGTGTTCAGGGACTTGGTTGATTTGTGCCAAGATGACAGAATGTTGTGTTGTAGAGGTCTAGAGTAAAAGTGGGCAAATGGGATCGACTCATAAGAGGCTACCATCAGGCCCATAACTCTCATTCAAACGTCAGATTACTCCTGGGGTGGAAATCTCAAATCTAAGATTGGACAGTTCAAAGTTTCTCCTGAGGAAGAAACACTCTGTGCTGACCCATGTCCAGGGCAAGCCTCAGGTATTCCAAATGATAAGTCTGTTCCAGCAACCATTGCTGAAGGTTCAGGATCTATCTGAAACACTTCAACATCTGGACAGTCAAAGCCACATTGTCTATAAGAGCCCACACTGACTGATCCCTCAACAAGAGGTTGTCTAAGTATTCAACAATACTAATGCCACAAGAGTGTAGTAGAGCTAACACTGGGGCCAGCGTCTTGGTGTACACCTGAGGTGCAGAGAAAAGGCAGAAGGGCAGGATTACAAACTGGGAGCATACGGGCCCCACAGCAAAGTGTAAGGAAAGCTGATGTACTGGAAATATGGGGACATGTAGATATGCAGCCTTAATGTCCATAAAAGACAACGTTTCTCTGGTAAAGGGAGGCAAGGAAAGACCTGGTGGATTTTCTGACCTTAAATGAAGACATTCAGAGCTATGAGATCCAAGATGAGGTGGTTGCCCTTTTTGGGTATGGGAACTGTGAACATGTTGGAGTAAAATCCTTAAAACTTTTCTGCCACAGGAACGGGGGCAATGACACTTTGATCCAGAGCGCATGATGGAGATCTACTAATCTGTGTGGTGACATAGGAAGGTTGGAGGTTATAAACCCAGGAGTGCCGTACTCCATGCATTATACAAACAAGGGATCAAGTGGTAAGTTCTCTTTTAATCGATTCTGGCCAATCAGTCATGGTTTGGCGAAATTAAAGTCACAGACTGGATGGGGTAAAGAGCTTGGACCGCTAGTGTGTTCTAGAGAGGACTCCCAACTGCTTATTGGCTTGGCCCTTAAAGACAGGTGTATCCTCTACCAGTGTGTCGTTCTGTTAAGGCAGAACACTGCCAGAACCACCAAAGGTAAAAAGTGCTTGGAGGGAACAAAGAGCTTGTCAGGGTGTTTCTAATCTCTGTAGAAAAAGAGTTGGAACAACACGTGCAATTGGAAAGCATTTGTAGTTTTAAGAGCTCTAAATATGAAATATCAGATTATATGAAAAACAGGCTAGAGCTTTGGATAGAAAACTAAAATTGACTGGATAGAAGACTACATAAGAATAATAATATGCAAAATGTCATACTTACCTGACAAAAAAGTGCATAAAACCACTATACATTCCCTTTAACTATCCCTTTACCACTTTAGCCATTAGATCATTTGACACCAGTGATACCATTTACCATCTATACAGACTCAGATGAGCAGGCTCGTGTTTCCTAAATTACAGAGTAGCTTATCAGATAAGTAAATACACCTTGAGAAAAAGGTAGCTTTGAGACTGAAAGGGAATTTTCAGACAATGAACTACAGCATAGCAACAATCTATGAACACAGATCTGGAAGTGGTGCTCCTCTAATGCTGGCCATACACAATGATATAGTTACAAAAATAAAAATATAACAGATTCCTCCATATTTGCATAATCACGCACCAAAATGCATGAATATGCGATTCGGTGCACTGGACCTAGTTAAGGGCCCTTAGCAAATGCATGGACAGATGCAGTGTCTATAGAATGGGATAGATAGCAAAAAAATACTTAATACCAATCCCTACTCAAAAAAAAAAATTGAAAAGAAAATTGTGTTTTAGATAGATTGTGCTGAGAATTTCATTTTTTTTTAATCAAAGGCTCCAATACTGCTAGTAGAAAGTTTGTAGGGAACTGTTCCTGAGGGAACTACAGTACCGGGTGATAGAATATATATAGTTCAATAAGAAAAGTAGATGATCCCAAAATAGAAATTATTCTCTTTAAAGTAAAACTGACCAGATGCTAAATATGGTAGCAACAGTGCTGACGCAATTGGTACCTGCAAATATTTGTGTTAATCAACAAATCAAATCTTTCTTCCCGGAGCTCCCAGGCCTAAGAACCAACTGAGGGCCTGTTCACATGATATCAGGTGTGGATCTGCAGAGTGATGCAGTGCGTTTTTGCCAAGTTTTTGCCGCATTTTGGTCGCGTTCCAGTAAAAAAAATATATTTTTTTAGTATGTTAGCTGCGTTTTTGATGTGTTTTTGACGCGTTTGCGTTTCCTGACCGTACAAAATGTGACATGCAGTATTTTTCTGTCGTAACGGACTGCGCACTTGAGAACTGTAGCCCATAAAACACATAGGGATACATTGGGATGCATTTTGAGTGCAGCAGTGTACGGATCCGGTCAGCACACAAAACGGACGTCGTGTGAACAGGCCCTGAGTGAGTAATGCGGGTACTTGAAGGCACCCCAGGGTGATTGCACATCAGCAATCTTTGTTAACTTAGAAACAAATTAGGGCAGGACAGGTTTACTTTATTACTAGTTAACAGAATCAAACAGCAGAACCAAGAAACGTTCCCTGAGCTGATCCACACTAAAGTTTTCTTTTACCTGTTTTCGATATACGTAGATAGATGCAATAGCAACCATTGTGGATTCTCCTACAAAGCCAGCAAGGAGGGATCCTACACCTAATGTGGCTCCATGGACCCTGTGTACAAGAAAAAAACAAAAATAACATGAAAACAAAAGAATGTCCTTAGACTGTGTGCAACTAACAGGTTTACATCAAACAATCAACAATATTAACACCTACAGTATGTGGAGAATACCAAATATGATACTTGCAACTCTCATTATCTAGTAAAATACACATACAAAATGTTTGGTTTCAGCATACCTCATATTATTACAGCTTATGTAAATATTATTTTAATTAAAGAGTGACTTCAGCCTTTGTATAACATGATTATTATCCTAATGACAAAGACAAGGTGAAGCTTCTTAGCTTTCTTCACATCATTTGATGAGTGAAAATACAACATGTTTATTAGGCCCGATATAGACTTTTATTTCCATGTTGTTCTTTACCACAATCAATCGAGCAGCTGCCAGTTTTCCTGTTAATGTTCTGCTATGTCTGGACTGTTTATATGGCACACACCAAAGGGAGTATTGGGGTAACTCATATATATTTGATCTCAATCAGCTAAACAATGTTACACTGTTGATATGCTTGGAGATAATTGAAGAACTCTGTGCCTTACAGGGGTACTAGTCATAGCTGTGCAGCTTCCAACTTATATTTGTATGCAACTACAACCTCTGTTTTGAAGGTAGAAACAAATTAGGGCCTTTGTGCTTGCCATTTATTTTGATAGGTTATTATGTGTACATCAGAATGAGTACACCTCCAATTCATTGTGTTCCTCAAGCCATTCTTGAACCATTTTTGCAGTGTGCCAGGGCACATTATCCTGCTGAAAGATGCCACTGCCATCAGAGAATACCATTATCATGAAGGGGAGTACTTGGTTAGCAACAATGTTTAGGTAGGTGGTACGTGTAAAAGTAGAATCCACATGAATGGCAGGACCCAAGGATCCCCAGCAAAATATTGCCCAAAGCATCATACTGGCTCCACCAGCTTGCCTTCTTCCCATTGTGTATCCTGGTTCCATCACTTAACCAGGTGACAGACACACAACCAGCCATCCACATAATGTCAAAGAAATTAATCAGGCCAGACCACCTTCTTCCATTGCTACATGGTCCAGTTCTGATGCTCACGTGTCCATTTTAGGCACTTTTGACAGTGGACATGAGTCAGTATAGGCAATCTGACCGGTTTGCAGCTATCCAGGGCCATACGCAACAAACTGCAATGCACTGTGTGTTCAGACACTTTTCTATCAGAACCAGCATTAACTTTTCCAGCAATATGAGCTACAGTAGCTATTATATTGGATTGGACTACACGGACCAGCCTACACTCCCCACGTGCATCAATGAGCCTTGGCCACCCATGACCCTGTCCCTGGTTTTCCTTCTTTGGAAAACTTTTGGTAGGTCCTGATGTTTCACCGGTCATCCAACCAGCTTTCTCAATTCAGAATGACTTGTAAAAAAATTATCTGGGAATAAATATGGTGAATGTTGTTCCAATCCACATAATCTGTTAGTCACAACCAGGTGTTGATTGTATTTGCATAATTGGAGTCTAGGAGGTGTTAATAACCTGCCCAGAGAGAGGTGTTAAAACAGCATTGTATGTGGCAGACAATAGATGTCTGCCCCCCCCCCCCCCCTCTATTTAAGCTTGGCTGCTCCATTTTTACATAAATGGCCTCTCTCACACCTCTTTTGAATTAGTCCTCCTCCCTGTCTAGGATGTGTACTTGGCTGTCTTCAAAGAAGTGACCTGCCGAATCCTGACCAGGACTGGTTCAAAAGAGGTGTAAAAGAGGCCACACAACACACAAGTGCACATTACACAAAGTTTTATGTTCAACTAGACACTTCAGTTTATATAAGCAAGTGTTCTATTCACTGTGTTCTCTACCAAACAAGTGTCAGTGTTTCCTGAACAATGGTCATTGTTCAGTGACCGCAAAGTTTACATTGAAAGAGTTCATTTTAAACTCAATACAGTATGGAAATTCACAGATAAATTAACACTCATCTACTGGCAGGTGACTATTTTTCAAAGGGGTAAATTTTTGTATTCAAGCAAATGTAATTCTTAAAAAATAATAATAATAAAATCAAAATTAGTAGATGTTATGTATGAAACTATCACAGTTTATCAATATACTGTAACTATTTCCACATGGCATGCATTCACGCATTTATCAAAATTTGCCATGACCCCATACTTTTCCTATTATGTTTTTTCTTAATATAGATTAAAAATGCTTTAATGTTTACATAGCTAAGATAATGCATGGTTTATTCTTCTCTGGGGAACACCAAGTCCATTTTTCCTTAAAGTGTATGTCAAGACAACATTAAAAAAAAATAAACATATTTCATTCCTCTCTGCGATACATGCACAAAAGCTGTATTCTGGCCCCTTGTTTACCTGAAAATGGATTGCCGGATGACATGGATATTTCAGTAACTGCTTTGTGAACAGATGGCTACAACATCACTATAAAACTACAGAATGTGCAGTGTAATTTACATTATCGTTTACCAAACCAAATGTATACACCATTAGTCACATAAAATGTATGTATGTGAATTTACAGCACATATGCTGCATTACATTATAAAGGAGGCAATATTTTCAGATGCTGTAAAAGTTGGTTATTGTACTTCCTACAAGTCCAAATGTATGGCATAAGTCATCAAGCCTCATTCTTTAGCAGATAACCATTAACTTTATAGGATGTTGTATAACTGGTGAAAGGTCACTGAATATATACGAATTCTGTAATGATACAAACTGTATGAATGTATATCGTAATTAGGTGTTATGTGTTTTCATGTCTTTTAATGCTACACAAAAGCTCCAAGAGTTGGTAAACCTAGTACACAAGGTCAAGCTTTTCCATTCTGTTGTGTTAAAAAGGAAACTTACCCCATGTAAGGCAAGATAATAAGACTAGAGATTAGAACGATAATTCTTAAAATAGAGCTAGGTGCCAGGACAAAAGTCTTCTTCAGTGTCATCAGCCAGCCAGTTAAGTGGGCCCGCACAGTAACTTTATAAAGGGAGAAAAAAAAATTGTTAACAGAATACAATTATGGATTAAACTTTGTTAGTTCTATATAAATGTATTTATCTATATAAAATGTATAGCCAAAACATTTTTCTTTTTTTAATTCTGAAAACTGAACATTCAGAATTTTGGAGTAGGGAAGGATTTAAACTCCCGCCACGTTATTTTTTTTTGCTCTGTATACCATTGGTGAAATTTCCCTTCACTTCATGGGCCAGAGACATACCAGGGAGTTATAGGAAATCTAAAGTGAGGAAATTGCCCCTCAGACAGTTGACTTTAGAACTACATTATCTCCATTATTTATATCTTCATTAGAACATTTTCCGCTACTGATTGTTCTGTGGACATCTATAAAATTATTTTTTTTGTAACAATGGTAACCAGTACAAATAGAATAGTGCATCTCTACAATAGGGAGACCGAATCCTTACCCATTCTATGCAAGACTAAGCAAAAAAATTAAAAATCCAAGCGATACACTTTAAATATAGGCATTACAGCTTTCTAGTTACTGTACTGTATTTGGGGAACAAAAGAGTCTTTTTTTATAATACAATATAATATAGCCAAATCTTCCTGTCACACAATCCCCCTCCCAGACACTGCAGCTCACAGTGGGAGGGGAGTGCTGTCAATCCAGAAAGCAGTGGGCAGGACTAGGTGTGGCCAGGTGCTGACTGACAAGCTACAGGCCTATGAATCATCAGTGACAATACTGATAGCCACACCCCTTACAACATTCATCCCACTGCAGTGCAAGCAGGCGCAGCCTACACAAGAGTGGCAGCTATGCTCTGAATTTAGGAGTAGTGCAGTAGAATTGACAAACCATTAGGGGAAACTGCATTAGGTCGGTTTCACTGGCTGGCTCCACAGGTGTTTGTGGGACTTTGCAAAAGGACTAAGAGAAAACTGTAAGCACGATGCATTAATAATTGAGTTCTACAGCGCATATTTTTTATTGTTATGGGAGACCATACTTCTACTTTAAATTTTGAAGGGGAGAGGTTCAATTTAAACTGTATGTAAACACATTTTCATTTGCTCCCTTTTGGTCTGTTATACAGGACCACCGATAGAGAGGTACAGGCAGCCAAGCACCATTGTTTTGGCAGCCCTAAAAATGCTGCTGTCACTGCCACAAAGAGGGGAAATAGGACATCTTTCACATCAGATCTATCCCAGCCAGGGACATATGTATGCCTCATATGTGTGTGTATGTCATCACAGTTCCAATATGAGTGTGCCCAGTGCCCGGCCTGCAGAAGAGGGGCAAAGCTTCCCATGCATTACTCTCTCTACAGGGAATCTTCCCTCTTCTTTTGCTGGATACTGGAAGCACTGCTCTGTCTCTGCTGCTTCCCCACTGTCTCCATCTAGAGAGATCGCTAAAGTAGTTATTCTACAAATTTTTCTATTGACTATAATAACAAAAAGTGAAACGGCAAGTGTGAACTTCTCATTGACAACTTGTTTTTAAATGTGCAGACCCCAGGATACTTGATATGCATAGGTTTGGTCCAGGTCAGTAAATAGTAAGTAGAAAAAGAGGGATAAAGATAAAGTCCCTGAGCATGTGTGTAATGTATCTAACTTGACAAGTAAACATTGTAGTAGCCCAAAATAGTACATGATCCTTTCAAACTGGTAGCAGCAAAATCTCTTATCTTCCCACTAACTGCCTGTTCTAGCCAGATCAGGAAGTAGAATTTAGAGCTAAACTCCAGGCACAAGAAAACAGTGTTAACTGTAGTAGTGTATCCTTGTTATAGGCCATCTCTTCTTTTTACCTTTAGATTCTCCTGTGGGCCACAAGATTCAAGAATAGGTTGCCTTTTCTCACTGAGAGGGCCTATTTCCTCAACTATTTCCTATGAACGCAATCAGTCACCAGCCTGCTTTGCATGAACAGTGAGACCTGTCGCATAACGTTCCCCTGTACTTGAACACATGTACGGTAACGTCAACAAGCAGTGTGGCTTCAGTAGCCACAGATAAACATTTGGTGCTGCCACGGTTTACACAGTCCCCGTGACCAGCACCGCCAGCATGCCACAACTCTGCACCGTTTCTATGCTGCAATACAGCTTTAAGCAGATAGAGAACAAAGTTTGTCTTTTATCACTGCTTGTAAGATTTCATAAGTGTACCACAACCACTCTGCTAGACAGAGTCATTCAAGTGCTGGATGGTTTTTTGACACACCACAACTCTGATGCCCTGATCGATTGTGTAGTGCCCTGTATCAACACAGGACACTGACAGCTCCATGCAATAGAGTTATGGCTGAAAATAAAACCTGCCTCTCTGCTGCTTTGTCTGTCATACCTTTTCCCCACCACCACTCTGCTGAACTGTGCAATGCACTGTAATGCAGAGCTGTCTTGCAGAGTAGTGCTTTAGCATAAACTAAGCTTCCCTTTCTCCATCTGCTATTGACCACTGTGCCTCAGTCCACAAAAAAGACTCTGCAGCTTCCAGTAATGTGAGGCACTGCTCCAGCAGGAGGCTTTGTCTTGCATTTTGCTGCAGCGGTGACAGAAGAGTTCAATGGACCCTGTCTTCTGGGCTCACTACCCACTGGACTGCCCACAGATACTATAGCAGCTCCCAAGAGCTGGTCCACATCTGTGTTTATCTCAGGGGCTATTGGGACTTATAGTCTTGCAGGGCACAGGAAGACACATAGGGTTCCTTGCCAACTCTTCCCACCTGCTCCAGCTGCTGATGACATCACATGGAATAAAGCTAGGATTATCCAAATAAAGAACCAGTGTAAGTTAGACATTCTTTTTGATGTTTTAAAGGAGAAAGGAAGGGGGTTTAACATTTTTTTCTATGTTGCTTGTTGCCAGGATAAAGCTGAGTTCAGCTATACATCCAGCTTCTGAAAAATGGCCACCAAACTGACTTAAGTACTATATCCATTGCTACCACTTCAAGCACCTTTCCCTTAATGTGGCCTTGAACGATTACCATATGTATGGTTAGACTGGAATTAAAGCTGAAGTTTACGGTGACCCCAAGCTTGTGTAATACTTGCCTGGTACAGGGAAGAAGGAAAATAACCTCAAAGGGACAACACACAGCTCCGCAAAGGCAAAATCTACTCCAATGATGTCAACAAGGATCTTCTCCGATACATTTGGAGTCCAGAACATAACAAAGCACAGCTGAGGAGACAGTTAGAACTTTGGTGATGCAAAGCATTTACATGGCTTACTAAAAGAAGTACAGATTTTTCTACTTTCACATTCAACATTCAATAGTACACATAACCTATACCTGTTAAATATAGAGGGTTATTCACTAAAGGGTGAAGAGTTTGGAGAAGGCAGGAGAAGTGAACAATCTAGGCTAAAATGTCTGATTTGGAACAATTCTCCAATTCAGCTATGTTGTCCTAGATAGTTTACTTCTACTGCTTTCTCCAAACTCTTCACCCTTTTGTGAATAACCCTGATAGTCTTAGAAACCGTTAAAAACATTACAGCTACAAGAAAAAGAGGGTAGTAAAATAATTCTGTACATGCCTGTTGCAAATGTAATTACATCTGCATTATGCTTAGCAAAACATGCACACAATATTCATGGAATGCCTTACCTATGTAAGCACTGCACTTACTTTAGCCATGAAGACTGCTATGCAGGCTGGGTTTGCAATACAATATCTCTGCCATCCAGCTGATGTTCAGGAGAGAATGCCAAGCTGTGTGATTTATTTATTTTCTAATTCGACACTCGGCAAAAAAACTGATGTAAGTTGTAAGTATCTGCTAATTAATATAGGTCTCCGTATTGTGGAAGTTCTCTTTTGTAGCATGGCAGCGGTGAAAGAGGGCTTTGGGTACCATTGTAGGTACAACTTATGTTGGTCAGATTGCAAGTACAAGCGTGTACATAAACAAACCCCTGCAGATCTCGAGACTGTGCACTTGCATTTTTTCTTTAACTGGTTTACTTATTCAAAAGACATTATCCAAGGTGTAGCTAGGCAAGGGGTTGTGTGTCTTCAAAAAACCCATACTGGCAATTAAAAGATAGTTGTACATATAAAAAATCTAGCCATGGATCACAATGCCTAGACTTACCAGCATTTAATCTGTATGATTGGTAGCGTAGAGAGGATAGTTTGCTGGAGGGAGGGGAGAGGGAGGGAGGACAGGGGATATATTATGGGAGCGTAAAATGGGCAAGGTGGGAGCGGGTAGCTATACACATGGTTTGTTAAATGCAAATGGACTTCATGGATTTTTTTAGATAAAGGACTCACAATAAGGAATAATGAGAACACAAGTATTAGTGGGAGGGGGAGGGCGTGATAGGGAGTAAAGGGAAAATAACACAATTTGAGTGGAAGTCTATTGTTATAGACATCTTAGTACTGATCACACTTATAATGATTGAACACAAAGAGTAGAGTGAGGAATATATATATAAAGGAAGGCTTGAGAGAGAGAGAGAGAGAGAGAGAGAGAGAGAGAGTTGGTCTTAGGACATGGTTTGAAGAAATTAACACTGAAGAGGTTTACACAAATTTATATAGTGAAGATTCCCCCCTCCAGATGAGGACATGGTTAGTAGTTTGAATGAGAGAAGAAAGTAGAGGTGAAAGTGACGGAAGTTGTGAGGATGGGTAATGAAAAGTGAATGATTTTGGACATTAATATAGGTGAAAGTAATGGAGCAGTTGTCTTGTTGATTAGAGATGTGTATAATTTATGCTATTTATGGGGTTAAATTAAGTTTTATATCTCTTTTATGAAGTTATGTATAAATGTGTTTATATGAAATAATAATAAAAACTATATTAAACAAAAACAATGCCTAGACTTACAGGAGAAGAAACTGTTACAGCAATACAAACTCCAGTCAGAACTGCCTCATAGGCATTCATTTAATGTAGAAGCTTTGATGATTAGGTTACCAAATGTTATTATTTCATTATATAAAATGTAATGAAATAATAACATTTGTTAACAAAATCATCAAAGCTTATGCAGCTGAAGAATAGACAAATAATGTCCACAGATCTTGTTTTTTTGCTTAAAGCTGAATGGCAGGCAAGCATCTAAATGCACAGCTAAAATGCTTATACTGTATAGGAAATGTTTTACCTGCCAAAGCATTTGCAATTCTGTGGAGCTAGGCGTGTGATGTACACACCCCTTCTACCAGACAGCAATGCCACATTCTTAATGCATCTATAAAGTTTTAGTATCTAACCTGCCCACAATAACATTGCTTCTTAACTTCAGCATTAAACATTTAAAGGTAGTCTTCCATTATCTGGGAGCCACCAGGAAAAAGAGAAAGAAACCTATTTATTTATTTCATAACTTGATTATTTAAATGTATTTAATTAATAACTTATTTACTTATTTTATACCTGTTGGGCTGCAACCAACTGATCGATTAATCGATTATGAGAATAGTTGTCAATTATTCTCATTATCGATTACTTGGTTGGATCCCCTAGCTCTCTCCTCCACACAGGGAGACGGGCACAGCAAGCAGTGGGCGGGTGCAATAGCCAGCCTGCTATTGGCTACTGCAATTTAAAATAGCCAATAGCAGGCTGGCTATTGTAATCAGCCACTGGATAGGTACTTGACGGTGGCTTGGAGGTGGGGCAGCGAGGGCATGGGGGGGGACAAATTCTGCTGCAGGAGGTGCGTTGCACTGCCATTCTTTTTAATGGCAACCCAACCAAACCTCCCACCCACAGCGTAATCGGCCGCACTAGAACGCATGATACCGCAATGCTGTGCGGTGCAGTGCGATTGCAAAGAATTGTGCATGCAGTTTTATTCTGAAGAAAAATGTATGCTTGTAACACTGCATTTGTGTATTTTTAAAATTAAGGATGGTATTTATTTATTATTTTTTATCTGATTAATCGAAAAAATAATTGGCCAACTAATCGATTATGAAAATAATAATTTTTTGCTGCTCTACATACCTGAAATTATTTATGTATTTCAGAATTAAACTTATGTATTTCAGAAGGCCAATATTTTACAATAGCTCTGAGTACACTAGAGACTAGGGATGCACCAATACCGGTATTTTGGTACCGAGTACGAGTACCAAGATTATTTTCGGTACTCGCCAATACCAAATACAGAATACCGGAAGTCCCATTCAGGAAGCTAAGCGGCGTGTAATGACTCGCCACCTGGCTTCCTGATTAGCCGGGAAGCCAGGCAGAGTGTAAAGACTCGCCAACCGGCTTTCCGATTAACAAGGAAGCCGCCCCATGCTTCTCGTCACTATGTGACGAGAAGCATGGAGCCGGCTTGCTGGCCAATCATGGAAGCCGGGCACCGTGTAATGATGCTCCATGCTCCCTCATCGTGAGATGACGAGGAAGCATGAAGCCGCCTTCCCGGCCAATCAGAAAGCAGGGCGCTGCGTCATTCTGATTGGCCAGCTTCCTGACCAATCAGGAAGCCGGGTAGCGCGTCATTACACGTGATTACATTACATTACACGTGATTGGCTGGGAAGTCGGCTCCATGCTCTCTCGTCACACGTGGAGCATGGAGCATTTGGGCGAGTACGAGTACTCGCCCAAATATTCGGTATCGGCACAGATACTAGTATCGGTATATCTCTACTAGAGACCATCATTTTTGTGTATCTGCTCCCACCATGACAACAATATTTGGTCATCGGATTGTACAGACTGTAGTTATGTGAGAGTAGTGAACGGGTCCAACACCAAGGGCAAAACATTTAAGGCTGCGTGTGGCTTACACATCAAAACCATGGCCACCATTCATCAAGCGCTCAGGCAGAGAAACCATGGCCACCATTCATTAAGCTAAGTTTCTTTCTCTGGTGAGTGGTTCCCGGATAACAGAAAAGTACCCTAAAATAGGGTACCAAAGTGGCCAACAATATATATATTTTACTTTATTATTTGCGGTCACATGACCGCTGGTTTACCTTCTTCTTTAGCAGTTCAGAGGGATGGGGGTGGAGAGTGGAAAAACATTCAAATGTGTACAAAAAAAGTTAGTAGTTTTTAAACTGACATGTATGACCCAAGGCATACTGTATTTGTCCCAATATCTAATGTGTAGTATTGAGTTCTACAAGAAACATCTATGCATATGCTGTATCCTTTAAAATGCAGTAGGGAAAGCTATGAAAAACACAAAGCGTTTATAGATGAGTAAACAGAGGCAAAAAAGGCATTGTTGGGCAAGCATGACTAATTCCCAGCAATGTACAGTTAGTGTCCTTTCCTAGTTATATTCAGCCTCACCTGACTCTCATTCCACTTCCATGTCACTGTGACAGTGAGTAACAAAACAAAACAGGGGTTGTCAGGGTCAGTAGGTGCTGACTCCAGCAAACCTTATCAGCAGTTCTTCCACAGTGATTCAGCAGACCTGCTCTGCTCACATACACAGCAGCGTACTGAATCTGCAGCCCTGATGAGTGTAATACAGGCAGGCTAAAATCATTGTATTCACACAACACGTCCAAATGACAGGTGTGAAAATACACAGCAGCACTTATTTATATTTGCAAGAATTACAAGTTATGGAAGAGTCATACAAATTTGTAAAAAAGCAAGGATGTTTTTGTATATGGAGGTCAACAAGAATTAAAGACATCTGTTGATGTGTAACTTTCTGGAATGGGAAGTAAAGAGGTTATGATTGCCGATCTTTAAGATTTTACCTTCCAATGTACAATCTATACAGAAAAACACATACAGTAGGATTTGTCTTGGTTACTGTATCTACAAGGAGACATCCTCTGTTTCTTGAGACATTGCATTAGATTTTCGCCAGGCTTGGAATTTATATTGAAAACTCCAACAATATGGTAGCCCAGAAACTGTGTGAACATGCAGAGCACAACGAAGCAGTGATATGACCATATATAAGACAGATGTCATCTTTATATCTGTCTACTATTAATTAATTTTTCATTTTCATCATTCTATAGAAACAAATGCATTTTGAAATATATACCATTATCTATTTTCTATTTTACAATCTTTGCTTTTGCAACACAATTTATTCTGAAGAGGTAGTTTGATAACTAAATTGTATATTTGTCTACATACCGTTAGGGAAAGAGCCATACAGACGAAGGTGAAGTTCTTAATGTGGTTTTTTGTCACCATACTGCCGCTGTTCCCCAATTTAATGCTAGGATTAGACTAGGAAAGGCAAATTGAACAATTTTAGTTTTCTGTGTTGGTAAGACATGCAGAACATCAGTAATCCATAACCCATTAACTTATGAGGATGTTTGATGTTGCTTCTTCCAGCATCACTTTGCATGTTTAAACAAACACTTTATTACAGAAGTATAAAAGCAGGCAAAGGTTCTCCATTTACTGTATATATTATTAAAAGGTTTAACAATAATATTGTTAAAAGATAAGACTGCATGAGTACGCCTTAGCCTCATTTACTGCTATGGCTAGTCCACACTCATGGCCGCCCCAGCTATGCATATTACTACAGACCAGCCATAGGGATGAATGAAGCTGCTATGAACATACACAGGAGGCACAGCGCCTGGCCTGCAGTATTTTAGTGAAAAGTTTGTGTGGTGCTTGCAGTAAATGCATTGAGGGCAAATGTTTAAAACACAAAAGTGAATTTGTCCTTTAAATGAATCTTCTGAGCGTAGAAATACAGAAGGTGTATCTAATAATGTGTCTTCAAAGGCGCAGGTTTCAGGGCCATCATCCTGATCCTGGGAGCCAGGACTTCTCAAACTTTACTGTGTGCATGTTTGTTCCAGGTCAGTGACTTACTAGGTGGTAAAGCCAAGATCAGGATAACAGTCCTGACTATTTTCTTTAATATCAATTCACAAAGGCAACTGCCTTATTTCTGCCCTCACAGTTTCATTTGATTTTCTAAAGAGCACTGTTGATGTACCTGGATGGTTGCTAAAAGACCATCCAGTCATATAACAGCCCATAAAGATAATATAAACGAGCAATAAGGTGGTATGGAACAACTTTAACAAGAATTCTTTCCACCCACCCATTGTAACTGGTTAAGTGCAAAGGACCGGCCCTATAAAACAGAAAAACAAAACTCTAAAACTGAAGGACATCTAAAGAAACAGTAAAGTATTGAGTAAAAAATACACATATCTTATTTTTCATACACTTACTCTGGTAAATATGTATGCTGAGTGCTCAGAATATGTGTATTATGATGTAATGCTACTATTTGTATTTGCAATGATATATACATTTGTATTGTCTAGCAATCCTACCTTCCTTTTTATTTCCTTTTACTCTCCCTCATAACTTCTTGATTTACCTCAAAACAAGCAGAGTCATCCTTACTGTAACAATTTACCAAAATTGTTAATAATAGTATAATAGCCCTTATTTTAAACTAGGCTAGGCAAACAGCTAAATAGACGGATGAAATACATATTTCAGAACTGCTTTACCTGCCTAAGCTTTTGTATTTCTGTCCATTCATTTTTGATATGCACATAAACCTAAAAGAGAGCAAAGAGAGTAGACTTTTCTCTGGAGCATTTAAAGCCCATGAAGCTGAAGCTTCAGATGTTTTTTTTTAATATCACCCTCTCTTGTATGTTAAAAAAAAAAGTTTGCAAGCAGTTTTGACTCTCATGATGGCCACACGTAGGAACTCAAGTTTAAATCCTATCTCTGGATGCAAAAAAAACCCTACCCTTGCAGTTGGGCTACCCACTCACTGGAAAGGTTAACTGCTTGTTTCTGTCTAGCAAAATTCTTTAACCACTTCAGGACCGCAATACGTAAATATACGGCAGACCACAGAAGTGGTTATACCAAGAACACGGCTGCTGTGCAGCCGTGTTCTTGGTATCATTATAAACAGCCGATGATGGCTGTTAAGATACAAGCAATCCGGCATCTATACAGTTTTACTTACCTGATCCCAGCGCCTACTGGCTCTAAGACCGGCACCCACAGCCTCTTCCCCTCCGCTTCGACAGTCGAAGGCCCAGGCTCCAAAGTCTTGCAACGTGAGGACGCTGAGGGACATTCCACAGCCAGAGGGGAGGACGGAGAAGTAAGCGCCAAGTGCAGTGAAAGGAGGATCAGGTAAGTAAAACTGCTTTAAATAATCACCCTAAACAAAATCAAGCAGTTAAACCTTGCAGTATGGAGTTAGCCCATTGCAAGGAGAGGGGGGTTTTTTTTGTATCCAAAATTTGCTATGGTTTCTAGTAGATAAAAAAGACCAAAAGGGGATTCAACTCACTGACATCTTGAGAACTAAAATATCAATTTTCAGTGCGCTTGACCTTTAATTATTATTTATGATCGGTTGGGTGTGCTTGACTTGTCATTATTATTGTTTATTATAAACATTTGCACTGATGTATTGTTGTTCCCTGTTTTAGTATAATTCTTAGATTAGGTACATTTTGAACAAAATAATAATAGGCTTTTTTTCTCAATGGAGGTATAGTATGCAAAATAAACTGAAGTCAAGAAAATTCAACAGAACTTAAATGCTCCGTCATAGCAAAGTTTATCTAGAAAAAAGCAGTGACTGGAATATTTTACCTTGTCAAATGCGGGATAAATAGCACGGATCTCTGTTAGCCAACCATATGGCATGTGTCCAACAGGGTAGGTAGCTGTAAGAATGGCCACGGCCTGTGTGCAGAACAAATGTACACCCATTAATACTCTACCAGGCTACAAGAGAAATTATTCCACTGACAGTTACATTTAACACATATACTGTACTGTTCTCTACACATGTCACATCACTTATCACACTCACAATGAGAAACTGAAATATTGTTATTCCTGACACAAAGGTCTAGGTAAATGAATGCCTAGATTGCAGAAGCAGATATTCACACAGGATGTGAATAATAGCCTTCATTTTTAAGGTGACATTTAGATGTGTAGTTTATTTACAAGCTTTGATCCTTTCCTACTATTATTTAGTGTAATGCGTGTCAGATGGTATTTCACAGCTCGTTTTATATAGCAGTTTTAATTGTTTACGCTACATTCTGTAAGTGATAGCAGCATCTCTTTTGTTTGGGAGTAAAAATGTGATATATAAATATCTTTAAAAAATTAACTAGTAGCAAACATTTAAGAAAAATTGTGCATAATAAAGGAGATTTCCAGGAAATATCTATGCAAAGTACAGAAGGAGACTTTTACAATAGCTACTCGTTACTACTACTTACCTCCTGCTATCCATTCTATTGATATTTCTTGGAGCGCTCCTATAAACAATTGTACTTAAAGGGAATGTACATTACTTTGGTATATGTTTTTAATTTATTTAAATCCCACAGAATCACAAGAGGTTCTGCATGTCACATGATAGATACCCTGTACAGAGGTCTTGACCAAAGAATGGGAGGCTAGCGGTCTTTGGAATAAGTTTGTGTGAGACAAGATTCCTCCCTTGATGGTACTCAGGACCAAATCTTTCTCTTAACCTGGATTGTAAAAAGGTCAGTTTTTGTCCCATAAAAAATTTCCTGAGGTGAAACTTTTGTTCCTTGCACCAAGCGAAGTAAGCCTTTCATGTGTGATGGTAGAGCTTATGGGATGCAGACTGCCTTACTTTTAAAAGTGTGGAAATTACAGACTCAAAAACCCTGCCTCTCAAGACCTGAGCCTCAAAAGCCATGCCATTAAAGCAAGTGACCATCAGGCAGCATGGTAAACTGGACCTTGCGAAGAAAAGCCCACGGTGTGTTTGCCAGAAGATGGATCAGGTTGAATACCATATTGGCCTAGACCAGTAGCCCTAAAGCACTCTACAACTATAGAATCGGTAAGGACTGTAGTGGGATCCTTTAACCTTAGCTGAGCCTACCCCACTAAGATCTGACCAACTGACATCACAGCTATGCCAACTTGCATAGCAGTGCCTGCTAGCAAAATAAAAATATGGAAAAAGCTTCCCAAATGTTCATCAGTGGAATCCTTAAACACTAGAGCATCCTTATTAGGTACAGTCAGTGTTTTATTTAGGTCAATATCATCTAATCCATAGTGGGAACAGCCCACTTCTTAAGAAAATCCTCATCAAATGAATATTGGTGTGCAAAGCGTTTGGGAGGAGTAAATAGCTTTTCAGGAGTGTTCCAGTCTCCATGCAGATCAGGTTGAAGTAAAGAGTGCCCTGTAAATGTTCTTATAATCTTTGGGCCTTTTATGGATCCCAAACTGGTAATAGCACTAGTAGAAGGCTGCTCCATCTTAATTGTGGCTCACACAGAAAGGAAAAGACCTGATTTAGTATACTTTAGCCTGAGAGCTAATTCAGCTGACTGAGGCTCCACAGGAATACATTCATCCAACAAGGAACTGTGAGACCCTTCTTCAGACTGTACACCTGCATGTATGACGTTACAGCTGCAGCAATGTCAGATAAATCTTCAGGAAGAGAGGGGATAGAAATATGGTTACAATCTCTGTGTTCAGTTAGCAATAGTTGGCTTATAAAATCTAGCATAGCTGCAGAAAAGTCCTCCCTGGACAAGGCAGAGGAGGGGGGCCACACTTGATGGAGCTGTGGGAGACTCTGAGCAGAAAGTTGACTTAAGCAGGGAACAAGTTCCAGGCCATTAGTATCAGTTTCCCTAGGGGGGACACTTCAGACCACCCTTGAAATGTTAATGGATCGTTCATGGAGCGACCCAATGCTACAGGACTGCTGCCCATGTGCTTGGAATCCAACATGTTGTACTGTGACAACAAGAACAACTTAACGGAAAACCCCAAGCAAAACTTGGTTTAACTACAACCAACTTATTAAGCTGGAAAGGGAGAGGTCAGTGGAGCAGCAGCCAGTACTAACTCTACCAAGCCGTGTAGTAGCTTGTGATGTTAGCCCAAATGGTGTACTCATTAAGTCTTCAGGGACTGGGTCACACCAGAGGCTGTGCCATGGCTCTTGACCTGGAAAGTGCTCTGTAGCTAGCACAGTATCCAAAAGCCTGGGAAGCTTCACTGGCAGAACTCAGTGCTCAAAGGTTACATTCCAGGACGTCTCTGCAATCCTCAGTCAAGTAGGGCCCAGATACATCCTCTAAGGCATCACCAAGAATAAACTGATTCAGATTGCCCCACAAAGAGCCTAGCTCAGAATGGGGGAAGATATTATATACAGTATGTACACTACACTTCAGCTTTATTTGATTTTGTAATGTATACATAACTGCTTGAAATTGGGTTTTTATATCTTATTTTCAGCTTTAAAATATACATCATTTCACAATATGGTTCAGTAGATCCACCACTTTATCAACTTTGACAATGCTGTAACTAATTAGCTTGGCAAAGTTATCTGGAAAAACATCAGAAAATACTGGTGGCTGTAAAAAATGCATGGAAGACACACAGTATGTAAATCATACATTATTAAAAAAAATATCCAAACAAAATTCATTTTGTACTCTACATTTATAAAAGTCTAGGTATCACAGCACAGCACAGGTATTCATTAAAAGTTGTGATTCCTGACTTACCTCTGTGGCTGCAGCACTTCCACCTAGGTCACGCGAGACAAAGAGGTTAACAATGGGTCTGCTGATTCGCTGAGTGGCTAATATTAGAGCTAGCGGCCACCAGAAACTCAGCATCTTTCTTATTGTGGCTTCTCCCTATAGAGTGAAAGAGAGTCTATTAGTACAAAGAACAGACTACTGAGAAGCATAATGCTGAATAGATTTTTCTCGTTTTCCTGATCTTTTACTTTCTACAATGTTAAAGCTCTACAATTGACAAACAGAAAATTACAAAGGGGAAAAAATCCCAAATAAAACAGTCTACATGTTTAGTGCAGCTGCTGGACCAGATTTGTGCTGTCACAGAACAGATGTGAGTTAAATAGTGTAGACTCATCTCTACGTGACTCAGATACCAATATGTACATGTAAAAGCCTGTCAGGATTTCATGAAAGCTGCTGCTGTGGTGGCCTAAAATGTGCAAGCAGAATGAAGTATGTCTGCAATGAACTTGCTAATATCCCATTTTCTCTAGTGATTGCTTACAATGACGTTACCAGCAGCCAATCTAGCACTTCATACATATTTGGAAAGTGCTTATTTACTGCTAAATTAAATTTGAAAATCAAGATTTAAAAAGTGTTTATGTAGTATTAAACTATCGAAACATCTACAGATGTTTTTAAATTGTTTAAATAATGTACTCTTTTATTTTTTATTGATGTGGAATTCTTACCAAAGCTTATTTTGTTGATAGAGTAGGGAGTGGTTAGGACCTCTGTTAGGTTGTATTGCTGCCTATGGTCCAATTCAAAAGATTTAGGGTCCGCTCACATATTCTGCGGTGACCTGTGTTGCAATGCACTGAAAGAGTCCATGTACCTATTGCACTCCTGACCGCTCATCCATCAGAATAACATGGGTGCATCGGTAGTCGTCGGATGGCCACCGTCCCAGTGATACAAAAGAATATGGACACCGGCACTCCAACAGCAGGTAGAATATGTCTATTTATTGACGTACATGCAAAGGATGTAGCATAGCACACTCAGTGCGACGTTTCAGGGTCACGTAGGATCCCCTTCATCAGGCAGAACAAGTGTTGTTCTGCCTGATGAAGGGGATCCTACGTGACCCCGAAACAAGGGTTGTTCTGCCTGATGAAGGGGATCCTACGTGACCCCAAATGTCGCACTGAGTGTGCTATGCTACTTACTCTGCATGTACGTCAATAAATAGACGTATTCTACCGTACCTGCTGTTGAAATGCACTGAAAGACACATAGAAAACAATTGTTTTCTATGTATCCCATTTACGCAAAAATGCAGGTTTGATGTTCAGTAAAATGCAAATATGCAGCATTTATTGAAGCACTGGATGCCACCATAGGTCGCTGCACGACAGTGCATCGAACTGCACTACTCAGGAACCTGAATGGAGTGTACACATTGTACAATAGTTATAAAATTAAGGGAAAAAAAAAAAACAGTGACAGCTCCAGCCATGTGTAATACAACCCACGCTGCCAGAGCTGCCACAACGCACTAGCCTGTCTACAAAAGCACAGTGTTTTAGCCGACTGGCTAGTGTGAACGGGCCCTTACTCTAACTACCTGTCACAGTGGCAGAGCTCTCGCTAGCACATTTATTAGGGCAAAATCTCTCTAAGATGGACACAATAGGTGCCGGGAGGAGAGAATTATTAGTCCCACTGTCACTTTTTATTGATGTGTGTGACATTGGTAGAGATTTCCTCTAACCCCCTGGGTCAGTGACAATGTCGTCACCAAGACAGAAAGTAAAAAAACAAACACACACAAAAAAAACTTTGAACTAAGGTTATCGTTTTAACTGGAGTTACCCGTTTTCATAAGAGTCTTCCTCCCACCTTGTTCACCCACTGCTTAAAAGACCCCCTACCCTTTTATCTTTATAATACTTACTCAGCTTTGTAGTTTGGATGTTGCCCTTCCTTAAAGCTGCCAATAAACTGAAGTCTCTGTATCAATTATGGTAATGCAGTCATGCTGCATATACCCCAATAAATATGTTCCTTATTCTGTTTTGTTTTTTTTTACTAAGTGCTATGTGCAAAGTACTAAGTACTGCTGCATGAGTTAAAGGAGAACTATGGGGTTAAGGCTTTTCCCCATAGTTCTCCTTAGGGTAACGGGTAGGCTCAGCTACAGCTCGCGGTATACTGAGACGGCGCAGTATACCGCGAGCTGCTGCGGATCCTAAGACGCCGCAGCTGAAGCGGAGCCCGACAATTGTGCCGGGATCCGCCCAGCTGCGTGACTGACAGCTGGCTCTGCCTATCTAGAGGCAGAGCCAGCTGTACCCGCCCCCTCCCCGGTCCGTTCCGCCAGTCAGCGCTGGCGGATCACAGCAGGGAGGGGGGAATCCAGCCCCTCCCCTGTCACGGCAGAGAGCCGTGACAGGATCGAGAGGTGAGCGAACACGGGTATGTGTTCGCTCACCTCCCGATCTACTGAGCCGACCTGTGACAGTCTCATTGTCACTAGTCGGCTAGAACTATGAGGTGAGTGAAAAACACTCACCTCATAGTTCTCCTTTGAAGCATATCTAAATTCAAAAGCTAAAATGTAATAAATTGCAGCATACCACTTCTTAGATGTCGTGGCTGCATTAGTTTTCTTTTTTAGGCTTTTTTTCCCTTTATTTTCACCTAATGATCAGACCAGTAAGCCTGTTATGTGATAGCAATAAATTTAAAGTGACACTAAACTCAGGAGTTAAATCTTAAAAAAGTACCCTAACTATTAACAAACATGTATCTTATTTGTGAATCACTCAGCTGTAGATCCTCAACTCATCTCTGAATTGGTGCTGACACTGTCCTTCTGGATGGTGGCTACAGTTGTTTCTCATGGTCCCTGTGTCTTGTAATGTAGCCACCAATTCAGAGATGATTTGAGGATCTACACCTGAGTGAAACACAAATAAGCTACCTTTTTGTTAACTGTTAAGGTACTTGAATGTTTTTTTATGATTTAACTCCTAAATTTAGTGTCACTTTAAGTAAAACAAATTAAAAAAAGCTTTAAAAAATAAAGTTAACTTAAAAAATGTAAAAACACCCCTCGCATTCATACACATACTAATGCAAATACGGTCGGGTGCGCCTAAATACCTAAAGACCAATTGCACCACACGTTATGTATCGCCATGCACGCTGGAGTGAGAGCAATGATTCTAGTGTCATTATTCACAATTAACCCTAAATTGATGACCTGTAAAACCTTTTAAAGATTTGTCTATAGTCAATTTGGGGTACCAGAATTTTTTGCCATTTCCCGGCTGCAATTTGAAAGCTTCTTATGTTGGTATCTATTTAGTCAGCGCAACCTCATCTTTTATATTTTACCAAAACATTTCTCTGAAATATATAATTCTGGAAAGTTTTAGTAATCTTCAGGCCTACAATGTGCATTTTAACATTTGGGCAAAATTGTCTGTGGCATTGAAAGGGTTAACAGACAAAGCTTTCCATCAGAAGTGGCAGTTACAGGGCTGAGACACACCATTTACAACTAACAGGGGTGCTTACATCGGCCAATTAATTTATGTAAACCCTATGTTTATCCCAAAAGGAATAAAAAACCGCTGTAACTGCTTAAAAAATGTTATCTGGAGTTCAGATTTAATTTGTTGCACCTAACATGACCCTCTCCACAGGGTGACAATGATGCTGTACAAGGGTGGCTCCGTGTCTTCTCCATAGAGTGGAGCTACCCTAGTACAGGAAGTGTGTTACTGGCCAGATCACAAGATGAAAATAACAGAAAAAGCTAAAAATAAAAACTAATGCAATCATCACCTTTAAGGATTGGTAAGCTGCAATATATTACACTTACAAATATCCTGGTCTAGCATCACGTAAAGATTTGGACTGTGCTCTCAAACAATTTCCCCCTGCCCACTGCTTCAATCAATCTCGCTGCCCAGGGAGCATGAACGGTGGTGATTGGAGCACTGTATCTGTGTCCCTTTTGCAAATTTTCCCAAACATACTGACTGGTAAAGTTGATATCTACATGACAGGAACATCTCTCTATTGAAGCCCCGGATAGAATAAAACCCGACACAAGTTCTAATCCTTCAACATGCTACAAACTAAGCTTAAACCTAAAACTAGAAAAAAAAGGCTTTGGTTTGACATACACTTTAATTTATCATTCGGCGTGACTTTCTCTACCCCATATATGCAACTTAATATCTCAAGCTTACCCCCATCTCTGGTCCACTTCTGTCAGGTATCTTGTCATGTATGTTCTTGTAATATCCTAAACATAATGTTGTGCAGCGCACAAGTGCTCCTATGTATAAGGAGAGTATTGGAATTAAAAGAGGCTCCCGGCATTCCAAGTGACTGTGGAGAAGAATAGCAACAAACACGACCTACAAAGCAGAAAAAATTGCATTAATATTTAATGCATACAAACAAAACAGCAGAGATTATACACCTGTCATAAGGTCAAGCATTAATAATTTACAGAAAGATTGCTACTATATGTCATAATTCCCAATACATCCTATCGTTTATACCTCTATAAGCTCTATTTTAGGAAAATATTATTTAATATGATGTTAAAATACTACCAATAAAATGGGACATCCTTTTCACAACACAATTGATAGTAATTGTTCTTCACATGGGCCTGTTCTGTAATGTTAAAGATGTTTCACTATTCATCCCTAGATTTCTCCGTCTTCATGAGTGCCAGGAATATACCTTAGCATTTCTTTCCACATGCATTAACCTAAATCCAAACACCATGGAATGTGTCAAAGCAGAAGTTGGTACATGTGAATGTTTGTGAAGCCACCCTGTTGCCATGATCCAATCACTGTGGTGCCATAAGATCCCTTACAATGTTAGTTGTTTGTGTTGCATGGCTAACTGTGTGAAGTGTTGTCAAACCAGGGTGTAAAATATGTTAAAATGGCATCAGGGTGCACGATTCCTATCACACAATGCCTGGGACATGTAGTTCCGGGTGCCAGGCTGGTGTTTTTTTCTCTACATTTAGCCCTGCTGTGTGCAAGCAGGGCTAAATGTAAAGCAGAGAAGCCTTCGCTTGTTTTGTACAAGTGATCTGGGTGGCTATACAGCTGCCCAGATCACTTGTAGCAGCCTGCTTTATTTTTTGTATCACGACGAGTAGATTGTCATGAGGCACAAGTAGATTGGGCCCTCGGTTTAGTCCTTGGACAAGTCGTTTTTTTTTTTATTTCCAACACCCCTGGGCATATGTGGGTGACAGATGGTGTGTTAGGGATGGTTGTTCCAGTTTGGCGTAGATAGCCTCTTTCAACCCGTTGACCTCTGCCCAAAATGTGCACCCACTGTTCCTTCTCCTTAAGGTTATTGAAACTCAATTGAACTGAAGAAGCTACTTGGACAAGTGGTAAAACATTTTCAACATTACAGAACAAGCCCATTTGAATGTGACTAAATAAGACTAAGTGATAAATGAGAATCTTCAAATTTATATGTACAGCAAAACACACACAGAGTAGTCAAGTGCCAATTATTTTGCAGATCTTTATAAACCAGCTCAGTTTATTAAAGGGGCCTCAGGAAAACTTATGAAAGCTGCAAATTAATGTTTATTCAACTGGTTACCTTCACCTGGTGAACTAAAGTTGCATATAGACAAAACATGATTGAGTGATTTTTAAGGGGGATTTTTAAACCTGATTGGTATTTTCACAGAGACTACGATGGTGATGAAGAATCTGGCTACTTTACTTCTTTCAGAAAAACAGACATTAACATACAGTATATTCTCAGGGGTCCCTAAAATGTATAATAGGAAGATCTTTGAAGCAGTCAGGTTTAACCACTATATCATGTCTATAGCCAGATTAAAGAGGTTCTTCATTAAAACTCTTTTCTAACCTAAAGAAATAATGAGTTCTCTCATAAAATGTTTGTTGGTGGGTTCTGCATCCATCATTATTATCCACTAAGTGCTAATCAAAAAGTTGGTTAGGTACTAGACATTTTGTTTCCTTACTACCAGCAGCTTATGTAGGAACGCATGGGAAACCACAGGAGCTTTCCACAGCCATGTATGTGCCCAGAGTGGAGTCCAATTGGTCATCCATGTCATCCTAACCTCAGCTTTTGGAACAGCATTTTAGGGGTCCATATCCCTTAGTAATTGACTTAGCAGAGAAGTGGCTGTTTATTAGTAACAATTGAAACTACCCTACATATCTTTCCTGACAGTAACTGGATCACTCATAAATAATGAAAATGTATGGTTCTCTTCTATTAAAACCACATGTATTTAAAGTAAAACCATGTTTTCCAATTACAAAAAAAAACACTTAATTATAAGTAAATCTGCACTTACAGATTTTTCATAGTTAGACTGCAAAGTCCCACACATACATGTTGTACCTAAAAAAAAAGTTCACATAATGCAGCTTCCTGTGACTGTGTGGCAACCAAGTTGTGCTGCTCCTGAATTCAGAGTAGAGTTGCCATGCTCGTGTAGGATGTGCCTGCTAAAGTGGGATGAAAAAATGTTGCAGGAGGCTTGGCTGTAAGCATTATCACTGCTAAATCACAAGCCTGTAGTTTTTCAATCAGATGCTGGCCACAATTAGTCCTATCCACGGTTTTCTAGATTGACAGCACTGCCTCTGTTGCTGAAACCATTCCACTTTAAGCTGCAGTGTCTAGGAAGGGGAGTGTCTGAGATACAAATAAAGGAGATAGGTTAAATGCCTAAAGGTTTGAACACTGGCAAACAGAAGTGGGATTATATGGTTGCTGGCCTTCAACAGTTTCGTTAGCAAACAGAACATAAGGCCAATAAACACAGAGGCGTGGGACCTGTGTCCCTTAATGGATTCCAAGAAAAAGATTTTCCAGGAAGCACAAAAATCTTTTTTTTTTTATCGTCCATTAAGAGAAAGGAATTACAAATGAATGTGCTAATTCTGAGGCATTTGGGATGTCCAGAAACAGTCCAACTGAGGGGTGGGCAAAAGGCACTGACAAATCTAACAAAGAACACCCAGGACCAATGCCCCAATCTGAACCAAAAGAGGTGAAGTTCCCAAAAAGACAGGGGAACTGCTAAAGACTGAGATGAGATTACAGAGGATCAACCTTATGCTCAGACCAGAACAAGAATTTCCACCAAAGGGAATTACTAGTTCAAAGGTGTCCACACCAGCAGAAGCTGTGATCCTAAGCAACCACCAACAGGTGGAGTAATTTAACAATCCAAATTGAAAGAACAGACCAACAACAAGGTTGGTCAACAAAGGTTTTTCAGCCTCAATACAGAATCCTAGGGGAAAACTGGACAACAGGTCCATAAAGTCTAAAGATGATAAATCCCAATAGAACCACCTTAAGTCAGAGAGACTGACCAACAAAAGGGAAAAGAGGGGTGCAAGAGGCATCTACCAGCAAAATAGACAAGACTGAAGACAACCAACACAAACAGTTAAAACATCAGGATAAGCAGAGTCATTCACAAGGACATCCGTTGTTGTCACTATAACCTGACAGGGAAAACCCCTTCAGGGCCTGTCAACCTTATCCAGTACATGGGAATACAAGTCCTCTGATCCACCTCGATCCAGTGAAGTGTCGATGGCTATGGAGCAAGGGGGAGGAACCATAGCTAGAGAGGCAAGAATTATCACTTGAAGAAGGAAAAACATTTTGAGGCACTACCCATAGAGGTTGTAAATCATCAATAGTTGGAGGGCCTGATTCCAAATAATCTGAACCCATGAAGACCCCCAGATTTTTTGTTATGTCCCACACAAAAGTGTCTGCGGCATGGTAGCAGCGTGAACTTTCTGTTGCCAATCTCAAGGAAATGGCGAACCCTCCAGCTGTAGTTTCTACAGAGATGGTCCCCAGAATGAAGACTACAGGATAGAGAGGCCCAGAAAACAAAAATGATGCCTCTAAGGGGAAATATGCATTTGAAAGTAACATTTTAAATGTCATCCAGCATAAGGATTAGATCACTCACCTTGCCACAGGAAGATTACCCAAACGTTCTCATAGGTGAAGATCATACAGATCCAAAGTGATGTCCAAAACATTCCAGGCCAAGGGACCTATTCACAACGTGACCCCCGAATAAGCAGGCACCAGACTGCTTTGGTGGAACAGAGCCTATTCCCAGATATGAGGACAGCCATGAGACATGGGTCTTCCATGATTGGGGGAAAAAGAATCACCCTATTCATACATCCTAAAAGACTGAGGATGCATATCTGGTACCATGAGATTCATAGGGGCTGCCTGCACATTGCGCCTCAAACCAAACAGGGGAGAGACTAAGGAAAACTGAAGGTTGACAAGAGGCAGGAGAGGCGATGTAAAGAGGGCAAGCACCCACTACTCTTTAAATGGGAAGAAGGGCAAAGTACCAAGACTGTTAGGGAAGACTCCACTAAACCAGAGGAAGCAAAGTGCTTCAGCGAGGATCTAAGCTGTTCAGCTTTGCCTTTTGGTGACTCATATTTACCAACATTAGACATATGTAAGGTCCCAGCCAAAGGAAACATGCAGGAGTTGGGCGCTTTCAGGGAATTCTAGCTACTGGAGTTCAGAAAAACAGACCCTTTTTAAGGAGGTTTGCCTAAGCATCCCACAAAGGGGATGCCAAGAAAATACAATAGGGTAGCCAGATCCAAGATCCAGTGCTGTAAACAACTACAAGTGCCCTTATCCCTTTCACAGCCATATATCAGTGGCATCATGGGTCTTTAAACAAACTCCCAGCTGCTTCATCAGCCAACTTAAGCTCAGAGGATTGGGGGAATATAACTTTATTATTTTCCTCCCTAGACAAAAACAAGCACTTAACCTGTCCGGGGGTTGCCCCACTACAAAGGTTAATAAAAATGTCACCCAGAGTAAAAGCTGAACTCCAGGCTAACAGCTGCATACTGCTCTGCCACGCAGCGCAACCTTGTCTGGCAGGGTTGGAGACTTGATCTTTCTCTGCTGCAGTTTAACTTATACTTCCAGGTCTCTTCCTCACCCCTACCCTGTGACTTCTCATATCAGTATGCTTCCTGCACTGCGGCACACATGATTGGCTGATTGTGCTACTTCTCCCTCCCCCCTCTATGAGCTGTGCCGAGTCTGATGCCAAGTAAATTTAGGTTCTAACAATGCTTGCATTTAAAAACACTTTAGTGTAGAAGTACTGTATAAATATATTTTAAAAAAAGCAGGCATAACCAGAGCATTAATGTATAAAGCAGAGAATCTGACATGTACCAAAAATGTATTGCAGGTGAATCGTCACGGTGCATGTGTTTTAAATGGCAGTGATTGATTCACCACCAGTAAATGTTTGGTCAAAGTCACACTCACAGCTTTATAAATAAGCCTCTAAAGGTGTCCATACACCTGCCGATTATCGTACGATAATCCAGGTGATCCCGCGATCGTACAATAATCGGCACATGCATGGGCAGCGTGCGACCGCTTCTACTGTAAGGTCGCACGACATTTATCTTCCGAGCACGCTGGAAAACCTGCCGAAATTCGTACGATGATCGCAAGTCCGATCTGCCTGTCCAAGATGGGCAGATTGTACAAAATTTTAATCACCTTACAACCATCGCACAACGAAAGTCGCCCGATGGTTGTAAGGTGTATGGGCAGCTTAAGTGTGACCCCTTTTTACTGGAACATATTACAAGCTTTTAAAGGTACCACCTTCTGAGAAATCAGATATCTTTATATAAGGCCCTATTCACACTTGTGCAGTATGAGAAATCTAACATAAAATGCATTTTAAGATCTTTGCCATTATAATGAATGGCACTTGAACTGTGTTAGGAAATGCAGAGATGTTGCTGTGGACAACACAGACGATTTATAAAAGCTGTTCCTACTTGAAGCTTCATGCCAATGGATGTTGCTTGTCAAAGGCCTCCTGTGGAATTTATCACCTGCCCTCAGGGTTTAGTGTTTAAAGGTTCCACAAACTTGTTAGTTTAGTTCTCACTTATTCATAATAAACTTGAAATGTACATGTCAAAATATGGAGTAAAGGTACAAATATGCAACTGAACTGAAATACAGCTTTCAGAGAAAAAGTACGTTACCCAGGCCTAAAGGTACCCACACACGTCACACGACAGTCAGTGTTTTGATCCATTGAGTGACAATGTCATGTAAGCTGATGCTTCAGATATTACCAGTTGTCCGTGAAAAGTGTTGATGAATCAGTTTTGAAAACATATGACAGATTGTTAGTGTTGCCCCTCTGAGAAGCTGTCTCCTGTTACCCCACTCTTCATCAAAGTCAACCAGTATTTAATAATAAAGTCACGCCGCTATTAACCAAATGAAATTAGTTTCACAAAGTCACACACAGTTAATCGTTCTGGTCAACTTTGTGGTGTAATCTAGGCAGAACTTTTACTTTTAAACGTTTAAATGGAGTACCAGAGGGGGGAAGAGTAGAAAGCAGTAGTTAGAGATAGAGAACAAAAGCGATTGGGACAATTTTTCTGATCTAACTGATCACCAGTTTTATCTGACATCATCTGGCCACCGGATTAGTACCTTCTAACATACATTGCATTAGGCTCAATACACAAAGCCAACACACTAGGATAAGAATTCTTATTTTACCAAAAAATAAGTTAATTTTTAAATGTTTAAAAATAAAATAAATCACATGGCTGAAAATCAGGATCCCTATCCAAAAGCTTTGTGATTTGAGACTACTGTCACCCAAACCAGCTGAAAATGCCAACTATCATCTAATGGCCATAGGTTCCCTTAGGCCTGACTAACATACACTTGTCCTAACAGCTGTATTTTAGTTCAGCTGCATATTTGTACCTTTACTCATATTACCATGTAAACCTCTGAGTGAATTACTCCAATGAAATAACATTAAAAAGCGTAGCATTTAGGTTGTAAAGAATGTGTTTCAGCCTCTAGGAAAGTCATTTCAGTTTATATTACATAACTTGAAACAATTTTACTTTATATAATCTCTACAAAAGCCATTAACAGAATTATTTAAAGTAGAATTCTGTTCTATGCTTTAAATGCATGAGATTTTAAAATCAAGGAGCTGCTGAATTAACCTACTTCTTTTAACTTAAGCAACTGGAATTGTATTAAGCAAAATGTCGACATAGCTTCTATGAAACAGACCATGCAACACAATTTTTTTATGTTCGTTGAATAAGATCAGTCAATTTAAACTTGTCTGGAATTGATTCTGTAGGTTACCTTCACATAGCAGTGGATGCAGGAGAGCATTCAGGGCCCTGAGCTGCTATATCTTTTCCATCAGGAGCTGGTGGTGATGGTGGTGATAGGGAAAACAATTTAAATGAATGGCTTAGCATAGTTTAAACATTGCAGTCAAGAAGGTTCTGAAGACACAGAGAGATGTGTTGCAATGCTTTAGGTGAAGCTTAGTGCTTTGTCTCACTACTATATCTTAATTTGTATATAGACTCACTGCAGTCGCTCACTGGGTAATTTCTGCTAAAGCCAAGGAGAGGCATTAACTTATGCAGTGAAAGAATGATCCAAAGGAAAATACTTTCAATGCCATTATCTCAGAGGCTAAACCATTTCCACACCAAATATTCAAGTGATATTAAAAGCCAGATGCTCCACTGGCTTAATATTGAGTTCACAATCTTGTCGCTATCCACAACCCTGCAGAATGAGGGGAGAAACCCCTCTGCACTCATAGTAGTTAGGTCAGCCACTATATAACAAGTTCTAATTACCTAAGTAAATGCCTACCTGTGCTATGACATCAGAGATAGATGCACATCCAACCAGAAAGCTGTGCTTGTGCTTCAGTAAAATGCCAGCATGTGTCCAGGCCTATGAATGAAGAAAAGATGATCAGCAAATTATGGGTTAAGACAGTTGGTAAAAAGTATACTGAGATGAACCAAATTATTTAGAAAAGTAAACATTTTGACAGCAATGCAATTGCATTACCATTCTATAATTATGTGCAAATATATTCTAGCAATTTGTTTGTATCTACTGAGCTATGGCCAGGTCCCCAATATGCAAATGAGCTCACTGGACAAAACCAACAACAAAATTAGTTTTTGGCATGTGAGTCATGGTTTTCCTCTGGGAAGATAAAGGAAGGGTGTTATATAAATTCAGGTAGCCCCAGCATCTTTTTCTTATTGATGCTGGAGATGATATGATTGGGATTTTTAAAGTGACATCTAGTGGCTATAGCAAGCCAAAGAATTTAGGGTTTCATAGGTTTATAGATTTATAGGGATGCACCGATATATCGGCTGAAAATTTAACTTTTGTCATAATGCCGAAAGTGCCATTTCCATCCCTGCTTCCTTTGCTCAGCCTCCTGTGACAGCTGTCAGGAAGGAGAGCGAGTGCAAACACTCAGTGATCCAGTGATCTCTGAGTGTTTGTACATAATTGAAGTATACCGGGGACCCCTGGGGTTGGGCCCTCTCCCGGTGATGTAAGTTATGGCTTCTGGGCGCACTCTGGCGGCATTCAGTAGAGGCACTTGCAGGAGATTGGTACTGGTCCGGCGCCGTCCGGGACAGGATGGGGGCCTGCGTGGGCTTCTGCTGACGGGAGAGGGACACCCCCGAGACAAGCTTGCTGTGGTCAGCGCTGGCTGGCTGTTTTAGTATGCCCCAAGCTGGGGTTCTGGTCCAAACAAGAGGACTGTTTCTCATATGATGTATGATTGAACGGATGGATCTCCCCCCATGCAGGCTTGCCTATAGAGATTTCACGAAGTGCCACTAGACTCCGGTCCCAGACGTTTCCATCGTTAAGGGGAGAGTCTTCCCAGGGGCGCAAATGCATGTGGGGACATCCTTGCTCTGTGTCTGCAATTGGGATTGGTTTGATCCCGGCATATCCTAGTTCTTGTTTTATTGAAACTCAGTTATGGTTCAATTTGGGTTATTTTGAAGTAAAAAAAATGTTTTCTCTTATAGGCAGATTGTTATGTCTCCTTATAAAATTGATCCTGGAGCCCGACCCGGTTATGACATGTAGCCCATTTTCACCACCCAGCCTTTGCATAACGCAAAGCTCTGACGGGTGACTTTCTCGGTCCACCAGTGTATTGTGGACTTCCTGGTGAAGGAGTCTCCTTGCTGTGTCCTCCCTCCTATTCCTCCCCCCTTACCCGCCCACTACCTTCCTTCTTCTCGCACTCTTCCTTCCCTTCTATATCCTCCTCCTTGGGTACTTAGTTCATAATCTACCGCCCGATTACTCACAGTCATGTCTCTTAAAATAGTATCCTTAAATGTTCAGGGGCTTAACCAGCCGAACAAACGGGTTAAAGCCTTTCGCCAGTTCAAATCCCTGCATGCAGATATGATCTGTTTACAGGAGACTCATTTTAAACAAGAAGCCTCCCCGTCCTTTCTCCACTCAGCATTCCATAATTTTTACGAACCTTCCGCTGACACAAAAACTAGAGGGGTTCTTATAGCCTTCCGGAGGTCGCTCCCATTTGTATGGGCAGACTCCATCAAAGACCCGGAGGGGCGATACCTGATACTTATAGGTTCAATACACGATATCCCCATCACAATTGTCTCGTACTATGCCCCCAATACTGGACAGCTGGAGTTTTTCACTCAACTCCTAAAATTGATTGACTCTAGGTTGCAAGGGACCCTGATACTGTGTGGAATTCATTATCTAACTTCCCCACCACTCCCACTCTCCTCTTTTCCCCCTACTGTGCTTCCCCCCTTCCCCCTTCCCTTGCAATGTGTCTTCTTCACTGGATCTGTCTCCGGGCAGTGCCTGGGGGGTGGCTTAACCACCCCTTTTAAAAATATACGATAGCCGTGGATTAAGTCACGGTTGTACGGTTTAATGTTTATTTTTGATATGTCTGTACTGATGCACAACAATGTCTGATTTCCATGTACATCTGACTTTATTAAGCTGTACGTACAGCTTTTGGACTTTTGTTTAAGATATTTACGTTTGCAGAATTTTCAAAATCAATAAAAATTGATTAAATATAAAATAAAAAACATTTTCGGTTTCGGTCTGACATATATTTTTATTTCGGTTTTGCAATTTTTATTTCGGTGCACCTCTAATTTTTTATGTACAACTCTGCCCGCAGTGATGTGCAGAGGTAGAGAAGCCAAATAAACGTCTTGTATGTGTGCATTTCTCTGCATGTCTGTGACTGTTATAGCAATGTGGACCACAAAGAGGTTTTTGTTTTTTGTTAAATTGCAGTGGGAGTTTGTTATAAGAACAATTTGTATATAAACAGCCCTTTCTGAAGTCATTCTTTAACAAGTGCCATAACAATCAGTGTTAAATATTAAATACAGACCTATGACAAATGTAATGAACACAACACACAATGTGCTTGACAGGCTGGCTCCTTAACGGCAACAGGGCGTTTATTGTATATTGCATTGTTTGTTCATATTTTTCTTTTTACTATTTTAGTTTAGCATTAGTGAATCTGTCTCAGGAGAGATCACTGAGACACTGGAAATACAGTTTACTTTTCATATCCGTGCTTCCATTGTTCGGCAATCAGCAACAGCAAATAAGCTTTGGTCATTGTAAAATAATTTCTGACACCTTTACAGAAAGCTTCAGAGATTTAGGGGTCTATTCACTAAGCTGCCGTAGGCAGCCGAGTGAACAACCGACCTTAAGTGAAGTGAGCCGAACTCTGTTCGGCTATTCACTTCAGGCTTGTATGGCTGATTTCAGCCGTATATCGGCTGAAATCAGCTGTACATCGGGTGGCTTCGGATCGGCCTAACATGCTCAGCATGTTCTGGCGACCTGAAGTGCAGAAGGAGTTCGACTCAGCCAATCCAACATCTGGATCGGCTAAGCCGAACCTCTGGCAGGCTACTCGCTGCTGTTCGGTCTATTCTCATAGATGCCGAACAGCAGTGGGTAAAGCAGTCAGCGCTGGAGGATCGGAGAGGGGAGGGGGGGGGAATCCCTGCAGGGAGCCGTGAGTGACAGTCACGGCTCTCTACAGGGACAGGATTGAGAAGTGAGCAAGCGACGATATGTGTTCGCTCACGTCCCGATCTGTTGAGCAGACGTGTGACCGTTTTATTGTCACATGTTGGCTCGAACTATGAGGTTGAGTGAAAATCACTCACCTCATAGTTCTCCTTTAATGGCTTGAGTGCATTGTGATCATATAGCTACTGATTTTTATCAACCTCTTGTACAGATCACAAACTTTATTTGTCATACCTAAATAAAGCATGATGGTTTATTGACTGTAACTAATTATGGCTATCCAGAAATGTACATAAAATATAAGGTCCATATGTACTCACCATGGCATCCATAAAAGGAAAAGCTGCCAAATAAAAAAAAGCTTTCCGTGTTTTACCTCCCACAGACTCATCCACATGGTGAAGTTTGTTGATAATATAATATCCCAGGTCACTATAAGCTGTGAAAACATTACCAAAAAAACGTCATCATAAATGCCAGCAGGCAGGTAGTCAAGTCAGTTGCCTGAATATGCAGTTTTTGAAGTTGTTGAGCAACAGATTCATAGTATGCCATATAAGTATGCCATATAACTTGTTTATAATCAGTTGAGAATTAGAAACCTGAGGAATGAAAAGTTTGGATATAGTTTAAGTAATACCCTTTATTGGGCAACTTAAATTATTCAAGATTCTAAGTTTTCGGGATTTCTCATATCCCTTCTTTAGGATTTAAAGGACAACTATGGGGTCAGTGCTTTTTCCCATTGTTCTCCTAAAGGTAACAGGAGGACACAAACTAGCGTCCTCCCATCACCCAAAGCTCAGTATACAGAGAGCCAGAGCCAGCTGTGCCCACCCCCTCCCCGTCCGTTCCACCAGTCAGCGATGGCAGATCGGACAGGGGAGGGGGGTGAATCCCTGCAGGGAGCCGTGAGTGACAGTCACGGCTCTCTGCACGGATAGATCAAGAAGTGAGCGAGCGACGGTATGTGTTCGCTCACTTCCCGAGCTACTGAGCCGACCTGTGACAGTTTCATTGTCACAGGTCGGCTCAGATTATGAGGCTGAGTAAAAATCACTCGCCTCATAATTCTCCTTTAACAATTCTGAAAATGGTCCTGAAACTCACATATTTATAATACAACGAGGAGCAATGGAATCTATATATTTAAAAAATACACCTATTTTTTGTTGAGACTTTTGAGTGGTAAAAGCTATTGTAAGAGATAAGAAATATTTTCTTCATGACCACATGCAAAAAGAATCTCATCTCTTCTATTTCTTTTACAGGTACTTTAAAAGTTCTGAAACGCATATATTTATACCCAGAGTTTCAAGGAGGAGCAATGACCTCTTAATATTCAAAAAATACAACAGTTTTTTTAAGTGGTAAAGGCTTTTGTTTGTGACCATATGCTAAAAGAATCTCTTAACTCCTATTTCTCTCTTCTCAGGTACCGGTACTTTAAAAGTGGCTATACAATGGTCCCTGAGGTAGGTAGTGAGTGGAAATCTCAGTAAAACCTTGAAAACCCCTCAAATCAACATAAATGCTAGGCAAAGAATCTCAGCACTATGGGCTAAAGAGTACAGCACAGCACAAGTACTGTACTTTACTTTAAGGCATGCTGTTGAACCTTGGACAGAGAGTAGTGAAGAGTTTCTCCAGCGACTCAATTACTTGTATGTCAATTTAAGTTTGAGATATTGAGTTCTGTAAACAGCAATTTTTTTTAGAACTGACATCCAGAAGAAAATCTGAAAAGGGGCCCATAGTTCTACCTTCAGCGTGCTCGTGAAGAAATAACATGCATATTAAATATTTTTATGAAATATAAAATATTTGTAAAATATCCCATACAAAATCAATATATTTTCCTTTAACGAATTTCATTAAAAAAAAATCATAAATGCACTAACATTTGTTTCCTTAATAACATGGAAAATATAGCAGGACAAATATACATACCTATGAGTGTGTGAAAGACCGCTGCCACAATACCAGCTACAACCATACACAGTACGGCTTTCATTCGGTCCCTTTTACTGTTCACAAACACCAGCCCCACATTCTTGAAGTCACTCATGGGGCCAGTGAAAAACTTCATCAGGGAGTATGCCAGACCATAGCTGGCAAGCATCTCGATGGCATCTTCTTTGACAGCAGCTATACCCCGATTTAAGGCCTGTGGATGAATAAAAAAAGGTAACCCAGTTGGAAAAAAGTACATGTTGTTTGTTGATTGGCCAGCACAATAATATCAAAAGGTACTTTACAATAGGGAAATGTTGTTACCTTAGTTACCTTACAAGTAGTGGTATTTTAATTTACATAAGTAAAAACAAAGTAAATATATGCATAAATATAAGTCACAGCAATAGACAAATACAATGTGGTTAAGGTGATAACACACAAACAATTCTAATTTTATTGTCTTTATTGAACACACCCATTAAGCATTCACAGTACTGGAACACAACGTAAGGCTGGGCACACACCTTACAACCAATGCCGAACGGGCAGTGTGCGCTTGCGCACACCGGCCCGTGCGGCTGTTATCGGACGGACATGCCACAAACCCGCCGAACATCGGACGATGCTCGGCGGGGTTTTACACAA